GCGAATGTTTATTCATGGATGCTTCTGTGCTAGAGCAGCAAACTCCAATCAAGAATAAAGTTTGGCACATGAGCATTATCATCAAGAGTCAAAACAAATAAATTGAAACTGAATTACACTCCAATATCAAGTTATCAACTTATCATTAACGAAGAAAGTTTGCTTTCTCAATTAATTATTTTGCCTTTGCAGCCATTTTTTTTCATATATCTCTTAATTACTGGTTGTGATTAAGACTTAGTTTAGGAATATGATTCAAGGACAAGGGAAATAAAAGGAAAGATTTTTTTTTAAAAAAAAAAACCTTCAAATCTCCTCTCACATGTAAAATTTTAAGTTTCCTATTCTATTCTGAGAGATGTTTTGTCAAGTAATTAATATTAAAACAAAATGGAGATTTAGGATATGTTTGTTAGCATTTTTAAAAAAGAGTTTTTTTTTTCCTTTTTCTTATCTTCCTTTTTTATATAACTTTTAAACCAGTAACTTTTTTTTTAAATCTTTAAACTCTTATTTAAGGAAATTATAAAAATGTATGAAATAAAATATATTTATCTTCAAGAACTATATTTATGTTTATATTTATCGGGTTTTTTTTTTTCAGTATAGTAGGCCAATACACCTCAAAACCCAATTATGTGGTAATTCTATTGCATTTGCTTTATCCATTGTTTTTGGCAATTGTTTATTATATTTTTAAGGAGGTTTTCAATTGACTTCAGCAACTTATTTGTTTTCTAGATTCGCTTTGTGATCCTCCAAAATGGTACTCTTTAAATGCTACGGTTTAACATTTTTAAGTGCGCATATACGTATCCATCTAGAAGCAATTCAGATGGAAAAATCCAGCAATTCAGCAAGCATACTATCTCTTCTCAGTCTTCCTCCATATCTAGCCCCACTCCCCTAAAATTAAAAGAAAAAAAGACTCAAGCAAAGTTTTATCAGGTTCCTCGTCAAACTTTGAAGAACTTTACAACTCTAACTCAACTTTGAATTGTTTTCATTTAAAACGAGAAGAGTTTGGAAAAATTTTATTATCGAAGGACATTCAATACCAAACTTGGTTTTGTCTTCCTATCGATACTGTACAAAACCCCCCCCCAACAACACGAAAAACAAAGATGGGTTCAATGTAAACACTTTTCTTTGGTCAAGATTTCAAACCACGTGAAACAATCGTGGCAACCTTCTACTTTCTATTCCTCGATCAAGACATGTATCCCGCACTTATATTTTATTTTAAATCTTCAATATTAACAACTCTTTCTTGATCTTTTGGCAAGAAAAGAATTAAAAATTACAAAGAATCATGCTTTGACATGTTGGCCAAGAACATGCCATTTTTTAAAATATTAAAAATGTCGTAAGTTAATTTGAAAATAAACCTAAGTAGAAGTTTTAAAAATCAAAGACTTAACAGGTCCTAAACAATTCATAAAGGGGAAAATAAAGTTAGATAATAAAAAATAGAAACAAAAGAAAGTGGGGTGAAAAGTCAAAAACAAAGACTGGTATAGGACTTCTAGCAACTGTGGGACCCAGCAGCTTCATCAACATCCGATCTCATCGGATCGTGACGTCAAATACAAAGGAATTCTTAACAATGTTCCAAAGAGCTTACGTCATCTCAAGAGAAAGTGTCTACGGTGATGGCCTGGATGACGTCACTTCCAAATATGCATGAGCCAGCCAGCTGCTGAGCTGTCATGTTCCCTCACGTTTGCCATCCGATTTCCCCACTAATTACAAAATTATCCCCTTCTCATGTATATTTTTCATATTCGTACAAATAAAATTAATAAATCCATGTCATTTCCATTTTTTTAAAACTGTTTTCCATCTTGCTTGTAAACTTAAAAAAGTATTTTAATATCTTAAAAATTAAAGAGTATTTATATTTTTAAGATAAATTATTAATTCTCATAATATATTATATTTAATATAATATTAAAAATATAATTATTTTATATATGAAAGATATTAAATGTCTTTTTTAATTTTTAAAGGACTTCAGAAATTACTTTTTGTAATTACAAAATATGGTGTTGGGAGAATTTTGTTCTCTTCAATGAATTTATCTAACTCAACTTCAAGTAGGAGTAAATTACTTTCAATGAATTTTGATTTTAACTTATCTAACGTAAATATTTATTTTATGACTATTAAATACGTGCAGTTGGCTTTGCAGATGAGAGAAAGAGGATCGAAATAAATAAAAAAAACTAGGTTTTGGGTGAGTGACTCGACCGTGTGTACTAAAGATATTTAATTGACAGCTAAAATTATTTTTTAAAATAAAAAAATTGTAAATATAGGTACATTTTCTTTTAATGGAGCTTAACAAAAAAAATATTTTAATGGAATTGTTTTCAGAATTAAATTTTGATTATCATATTTGAAAGGATAATTATTTACTGATTATGTCGATTTTTATTGTGAATGATTGTAGTAATATTGCTCCAAAGATTTTTCTATGCCATTTCATTCAAAATTTGTTATTAGTCAAATCCCTTTTACACATTAGTGCGTCAATGATGTGTTAGATCCTTTTCCCATCAGTTACGCCGTGAAGGAAACAATCTAATTACGTCTCTCCACACTTTGTACAATCCTAAATTTTTAGCGCCTATTTAATAATTAAGATAAAAACATGATATATTTATTATCTAAATTAAATATTATTTTGTTTATTTAAATTTTTAGACCCACTCATACAATAAATTTTATATTAAAGAGAAAAATAAAATATGTATTGTTTACAAGAAAAAGTGTGGATGGTATTCCATTTTCTGGTAAGAAAAGTTGTTAGATTCAAAAAGTGATAATACAGATTTTATATTCGCCTAACTCTAGAAAGATGAGTGAAAAATTAAACCTGCTACTTGTGAAATGCAATCTTGTACTTTTATAACTTAATAGTTATATAAAAATAAAATAAAATAAATTGTCCTATTTTAAATGACAATCCTGCTTATATAACACTGTCGCATATCGCTTAAAGAGAGTTTGACTGATTCTCAATACAACCGAGTCCATATTTGAATTTAAGTTAAAAATCATCATAAATTTATGTTTATTTTCAGGTTATTGATTATAACCTATACAATAAAATAAAGATGCAAAATTCAACATTTTAAAAGTTACTTAAAACCTTTAACTTTTGATAAATAAAAACACGTTCTAATCAATAAATATTCAACAATATAAAATTAATTATACTTGACTTTAATCATCAAAACAAATCAATTTTAATTTGAGTTTTTATTACTTGAAATTTACTATTATTTTGTCTCTGTGTCCTGTTTGTGATCTGGCTTTCTTTGTATCATTTCCAGCTCAGGTGGCACGCCTAAACCCCAGCAAATGAAAAAGTATGAGCCACGTCACACTATGTTGTCTATTCATTCATTTTAGAGAATCCTTGATTAATCCTCTATACAAGATTTTGTGTTCCTTTAAAGCTGGGTTCCCAAATATTGTGAACCTATTTTGACACAAACAAATTTCATAATAGATGACGTGTCCTTTCGATTTCAAAATTCCACAATCAAGTGGACATCAACATGTTCCTTGTCATTTTCTTCCTAATTGATTAGTATAACAATCTAAACTTAATTGATTTTTCAAATTTATTTTACATTCTTCGTGAAAAGCATGTACAGATATAATTGCGATTGTTAAGGTCGTGTACACAGATCACCAATTATCACAGCTAATTATCTCTATTTGTCTTCTTTTTACTTAGTGTGTCTAATGTCTTTTTTAATTGTTTTTCCTCACTTTTTATTTAGATGGTTTTTATCATTTTTATAATTGTCAATAATAATAAAAATTACATGATTTTTATATAAAAAATTTGATACATGAAAATAGCAGCAAACATTTTCATCCTTTTAATAACAGTTTGGAACAAAATTAATTTCAATTGAATTACTTCAGGGTATTACTCATTCTGGTTTAAAATAATAGGCTTTTAAACACAAGAATCAAGAAACATACTTAATAGTTTTGTTTTCATAAACAAAAATACCATTTTTTTTTTATTTTAGCTTCTTTCTATTATAGTTATTATTAAATATTAATTAAAATTTCAAATTGAATATTATTTCAAAAGAATTAAATTTGCTAGAGTAACTATTATTTTGATTCAGAAGAAGAAGTAGTGTTGTCTAGTGTTATTCATTTTAAGAAAACTAAAAGAAAAAGAAAAGAAAGGCAGATTTATGAATGAGTAAACAAATAAAATGATAATTTGATCTTTAAAATTTATATTATAAAGTTACTTAATTTTTAATTCCACTAAAATAATAATTTGGCCTCTAAAACTGATATTATAAGTTAGAATTGAAAAAGATTTGAGTGGAGTCAAAACTCAACTCCAGCTATACTTTAATTTGACTCATTTAATCAACAAACTAAATTTTAAATTTGAGTTCGACTCATTTAATTCATGAGCTCAAATTAATCGATGAATCAAAGTATTAAAATAGGCTTTTACATTATGAAAACGTAAATTTAATTCATAAATTCAGCAATTATTAGATAATTTAATCATTAAAGTTAGGGTATGTCAATTACTTAGTCTTCTAGATTATGTCACAGTGGATTAAATTAATTTATCTTTCTATAGTAATAAAAGTTATATTGATCAAATTGACTCACATTTTTAAAATATAACTGACTGGTTTTTCTTTTTGATAATCTCAACAATCAAATTGGCAAATACTTATATTGACAAATTATCGTCTCCATATGTAGTATTTGATCTAATATGTTTCAAAAGCATAATTTTTTTTTTTCACTTTGTTTATAAAAGAACTTAGAAGAAATAAAAATTTTGGCAAATAATCTTTATCCAAATAAGCTTAGAGTTTTATGAACCACAGAAAGTGCAATATTGTAAATATGAGGAAAAGTGAAGACAAATATAAAACTAGCCCACCAAACAGCAAATAGGAAAGTGAAGTCCACTCTTCCCTCCGTGTCCCAAAAACCATTCATCTCTGCCACAAAATATTCTGTGACCCCACGTTTGCCCATTTACTCCATAGATATATGCCAAGTCCAACACCACTTAACACACCCTTCGCAACTTGCAAAACCAAAGAGAGAGACCCTCACGGAAAAAACAGAGCAAGCAACAAAAACTGAGAAGAAGAGGAAGAAAGAAGAAGAAGAAGAAGAAGAAGAAGCCATGGTTTTATTTTCCCAATCCCAAACAGATTTACCCTTTAACGAGAATGACTCACAGGACATGGTCATATACCAAGTTCTCAACGAAGCCAATGCTCTCACCAACACATTTCTACCACAGAGGCTCCACCAACCACAGCACGGCTTAGAAGCCACAAGAAACATAGCCAAGAAGCACTATAGAGGGGTTCGGCGCCGCCCGTGGGGGAAGTACGCCGCCGAGATTCGCGACTCGGCGCGCCACGGAGCCAGAATATGGCTTGGCACATTCCAAACGGCTGAAGAAGCCGCCATGGCTTACGACCGAGCCGCTTTCAAAATGAGGGGTGCTAAGGCCTTGCTGAATTTCCCAGCTGATGTTGTTGCTGCAGCTTCCAAGGAGATGGAGCTATCTTCTAAGCTCGATATGAATAATCACGATTCTGTTTCTGATTCAAGTGCTAGTAGCTCTTGCACAAATTCCACTCAGGTAAACAAGTCACAGTTAGAAAGCACAAGTAGCACAAGCTAGGAAATGGGTCTTTGGGACACTGCACAATTGTAGAGAGATCTTTTTCCTGAAATGGGTTCGTTCATTTGTATCTGTATGACAAACAGGAGAACCAAAAATAATCAATTGAATGTGTTAAAATGGTTGGTGATTTTTTTTATTTTCTATTTGTTAAATCCTTTTTGGTTTAATGTTAAGTGCTATTTGTTTTCTCGTCTTTTATGGGTCCCCAGAGCCTGTATATAAAGATAGGCTATAGTTGTTCAAAGTAATGGGAAAAGTGACCATAGTATCGCCAATCCAATAATTGCAAGTTAATCTCCGTTTTCGGAATGGTTGGTTTGATTGATAGTGCGGCCTGGAATGGGGGCCATAATCAATTCAGAATAAGTCACCAATTTTGCATTCATTGAGGGTAGTGTTATTAAACATAAAGTCAATGTTTGATTCTATTGCAAGAATGAAAGCCATTATTATCTAATCCAACAGTCAAATTTGATCAATTGAAAATTTTGTTTTCCATTTGTCCTTGTCAAGCACATGTTTTGAATTGTAGGTTTTTCTTTTCTATATTTTGTTAAAAATTACCACACTTCTCTCTCAAATTTTCATTTGTTGGTGAAAAGTAAAATAATATAATAAAATAAGCATTCACCATTATCATTTTATATTCATAAATGCACGGGCAAAGCTTTAAGGGGCGGTTCTTAGGTGAGTTGGTGCGAGGATTATAAAAAATAAGAAGGTAACGGGCAATGTATTAAACTAGAACTTGGCGTCAATTTCACCGATGGGCCTTTCTCATCTGTTCACTGTTACTACATGTTATAAAGCTAATATGCCACACTTATTTCTCCCATTAGGTCTCTCACTATTTTAATAGAAGATTAATTCATGTTCTGGCATTTGATAGTTTGACATTAATCATGACAATCAATGTGCGTTCAATAAGATTTAAACCCCTGCAGTATACGTAAAGCCAATTCAAATGACAGTTTATATTATATATCAACGAAGGAGCTCTTTGTTTTATCTTCAAATTTAGATTCTCCCACCGCTTCAACACAAATTTTATGATTGAGATTAATTTAGTACACATTTCAATTATGATGAATGATTCAAAATTAAATTTATTAAAAATTTAATTCTATATAACATTGTGTAAAAACTTTATTTTATATAACAAATTGCAAAAAGGTAAAGATCTTAAGCTCTTAATATGATCAAAATAATAATAATTAAAATGCCCAAAAAAATTAAAATAGCCTTTCAGCATAAATGATTCCTGATTAATTTTATCCGTTCATCTTAAATATCTCACAAAATTCTTAAAACAACATTAAAGCTATAAAATATTATTTAGGAAAGTAATATATTCCGAGTATTCACAAAATTGTATTCATTTTTATAAGAAGTATACACACAATTGAAAAGGAAATAACATTAATAGTGGATGAATCGATGATATGTGCCGTGAACATATGTGCATATTGACATGGACACAATTGATTAAATCAAAGGCAAACAAGATTGGCCTAACTCAGAGCAACTTGGATGGTCCCGAAAATAATCATCAGTCACATTGACAATTTTATTCACACAACTGTTAGACGAAATAACAAAGATTATTTTGAAGTCTTTCTTCGCATTGAAGGCTCTTTGAAGAGAGCTCGCTCCTAATAAGCTGGCAATAGAGACAAGTTTGCCCCCCAAATGAGAAAAATCAGATAGTATGAAGCAACAATGGGGAAACGAGTATAATAGTCTCACCCTCTGAGACTTTAGAAAGATCAAAGAGCTTTAGAATCAAACAAGGAATTAATTATATAAAATGTGAAATAGTGGCTCCACCATTTAACAAATCAAAAGAGTAAAATGTGCGTTTTATTAAAAAATATTAAAAATAATTTTCTAGTTTTAAACCAAAAAACTCCTAAATTCTCTTGGATAAATTATATTTTAACACCCTAAACATCCTATACAATTACAAGATAACTAATTTTTAATTTGTACATGGTATATATCTAAATATAAACACTAAAATTAGATGATAATATTCTAACTAGTATATAGAACTAGGGCCATTCCTGGTGTTGCTTGGTTTAAATTAAAAATCCTGCAACAATCTTGACACCAGTCCAATCCCAAAGATACGCAGGATTGGAGATGATGGAACCGCCTTGAGTTAGAGTTCTAGGAGGACAAGCAATATTGGTCCCGCCAATTGTTCTTTGTCGTTATATTAATTTCTTCTCCCTTCGTTTACGATTTTCCCACTGTATATGAATATTTCATAATAATTGACTTTGCAAAATAACTGTGCTTGAAAAAAATATTTTCATTCTTAATTGTAATATTTTAAGATAAGATAAGATGTGCATAACTGCTGACGTGACTGCGATTAAGTTTGATAATAATGATCATTGAGAGTCTTTATACTTGTATGAAACCAACTAGTTTGTAGATATCTTATAAAACCCTGAAAATAATTAGAAAAAAGTTATGAGCTAAGAAGTAATAAGGGAAAAAAAACATAAATGATAAAACTCTATATTCAGAAATTCGATTGTACACATTAATCATGATATTAGAGACTTAGTTCTGCCAAACCATTAACTCCGCAGTTGGATAACAGATATACACATATAAGATAAATGGCTATAAAATTTCTACACATGGTCACCTTCTAAGTCTAATCAACTAATGCAGTGAGCACAATGTCAAAAGGAAGACAACAAATTGTCCAAGTAATCACTTCCTAGGTCCTGAAACACAAAAGCATTTACTTCATTTTCTAGCATGTGTTCCAAGCCAACCATCTTTTTTGCCGCAGGTTGTTCATTCATCGTATCAACGAACACTTCCACATCACGTGATCTTCTCTTGCGGGAGTTGAAGAAACTTTCTTCTTTCTCAATGCGTGAGCAAGCATGGCAATACATGTCACAAGTTGTAGAAGCACATGCAGCAAGATCAGTTCCTTTGTTGTCACATACAAAAGTGTTTGTGACCCTCTCAAGTGGGAAATTGAGGTATGCCTTTGGACCTCTAATTCTCAAAGCAGCTTTGTCATAAGCTAAAGCTGCTTCTTCAGCTGTATCAAATGTACCAAGCCAAAGTCTAGCACCTTTCTTGGATGAGTCTCTTATCTCTGCTGCATATTTACCCCATGGCCTTCTCCTTACACCCCGATAGTGTTTTGCATCTGCTTTCTCTCTTCTCACACCACTTTCTACCTTATTATTGGATTTACTAGCACTTCCAAGTTCCAAGTTGTTATTGCTAGAATCTTCTGTATTGCTTGTGTAAGGTACAATACCTTCTAAAACTTCTTCCCAAAAATCAGCTCCCATTGATATCCACCTCCCTAAACTTGGAAGTCTTTGTAGAATATCGGTGGACCCATCTCGTCCATCAAGATTAGGAAGTTCCTCCCAAGAATTAGAAGACTTTGCTCTATCACTACTGATAATTTTAGCCCATACATTCTCAAGAATCCCATCAGAAGTTGCATGATGAATACCCATGTTGGGTAGTCACATAAATGAAGGGGGAGGGGGGAGAAGGGATTATGATGAGTGAAGATATATAAAGATATATATCATACAGTGTGAAGGCTGTTTGACAGCTCATTAGCTTTGCTTTAGTTTGATATAAATGAATGTGAACCCAGTTGGAAATTTGTGCATTAATATTTAATACACTGATCAACTAGGTTTATGGAGGATTTCAGGATTTTCAACACAAAGACACGTTTAAAAAAAAAAAAATGGGGTACTTTTTAAATGCTTCCCTCTTGACTTGTGTACTTGATCAATCATTTGGGACTTTATCCCATGTTGATTTTGCATGCTCTATGCGTTGTATTCGAATACGTTTCTTAAATTCATGGATAAAAACATTACGAAACAGAGAGGCAGAAGCATTTGAAAGCTGGCAAGGGTGGACTTTGATGCCTTTTATTGGTGTTGGAACCATTGCAAGTTTGGCACAACTAATTAAATTTCATAAGTCAAACCAAAACCTATAGCCCAAATATAATGTACAAGAGATGCTAGTTAAATAAAATTTAGTTGCTTTGCTCGTTCACCCTCCTTAGGATTGGATTACTAGGCTCAATGTGGTATAATAATAAGTCCTTGTACGAAACCATGACATCATTTGCCTCGAGTATACAGAAAATTACTTGAGTATCAGCAAAAAAAAGTAAAGGAGTGAAAGGATAGTTAAACTACCACTTGTATATTTATTTCTTACAAAATTGATGACATAACCATATATTACTAAATCCTTGGTGATAAAACAGGTAAATTAATTAATAGGAGTTGTTTTAATTTAATCAAGAATTCAAGTTTGACTTCTTACGACTACTTAAAAACTTGAAAAAAAGGGGTTTTTTTTACGGTTCATAATAATCTTCCAAAGTTCAGATTACATATGGCATTTAAATATCGTAGTCATAGACTAAAAATATTAAAAATCCTTGGTCTTTGTAAATTTTCCAAATCTAAGAAAAAAAGTGATAACGTTGCTTTTATTTTCTGTTTCCCTTTATTCTCCCTGGTGAGGTAATTCTAAAGTATAGCTCATAAATAAATGTCTGAGCTTAGTTAATTTCAGTTCCAAAATGAAATAAAATAAAAAGAAAGCCGTCATATAACACTAATGTGAACAGAGTCCAAATCAAAATATGGTGGCGTGAAGGAATCCGCAAAGGAGAATTTCTTGGAGCGCAAGAATGGCGGGTTTGACGAAGGAAATGATGGATTAATAGAACGATGATTACAAAAAACAAATAAAAGAAATAAAGAAAACTGAGCCACACGATTGGGCCTTAAAAAAATATGAATATGTGCAATTGAACGCCGCAACCGTAGGGCTTGGAGGCTTCTTAGCATCGAAGCAAAATGGTGGTGCATGCAAATGCGGCGCTACGCTCTTGATTCGATGAACTAAGCGCACGGGCGTTGGGGAAACTTATCTAATTGGTCAATAAGGGTGAGTACGATTTAATTTTTGGTTTATGAATATTTTATTTAATTTTGCTTTCTCTATAGCTATACAATTTAAATTCGGTTGTCATCAAATATTTAATTAAAATATAATTTTTTATTTTTTTATAAATTATGTTTTTAATTTTTTGAGTTAACATAGACTACCAAAAAATTGTCACTTAATAGTACTTTGATAGATCACATCAGTTAAAATAAATAAAAAATAGATATTATATTATAACAAAATATATTAAAAAATTAAATTCAAATTATACAACTTTTATAAAAATTAAATACTTAATTAAACATTTTTTATAATATTTCCTTACAACATATCTTAGATTCTATGTTTTGGTTCGACGTCAAAATTCTTGTGGCATGTACTTTTAGAATTCATTTAATTAACATGATAGCATAGAAAATAATAAAATAGAAAGATAGATAAAGATAGAAGATAATAAAAGAACGATAAATCCTTAATGATAGATTAAATTAGTAAGATAAAATATCATTTTTTATTAAACAATAAACATCGAAAATAAGACAGGATAACAGTATAATCTATAAAGAAAAACATGAATAACACATTTATATACATATATATATATATATATGTATATATATAAATGTTTAGCTATTAATTAAAATTTATTAAAAATTATATCACTAATAACTGAAAGTGTGTTTATAAAAGTTAATGTTTGTAACATTTCTCTTTATAAAAATATCAAAAAAGTATCATCACTTATTTATCTCGTTTTATCATTCATCATATTTATTATTTTTCACTCTTTAATTTTCTTTTTCTATTTATTTTTACCATGGATGATTGATAAAATAAGGTCAAACAATACGTAGAGAATCCAAAACGTTAAAATACAATAATATTACAACAATGCATAACAGATAAAAAAAAAAAAGCATGCATGTTGAACTGTAAATAAAAATTAACATTTTTAATAGTCTAATGTTAAACTCAATAACAAATCCTATAATCTCATATTTCTCTTATAAGATAATCTAAAAAGAATCTTAAGAGAAAAAACTTTTCTTCTCTTCTCATTTTTTTAATTCCTTTTTAAATCTTATAACACATTTGTGGTCAAACTCTAGGTGTACAGAAACATTTTCCCAATTCTAGTGGGCTTGGGCTTTGTCTGTTTTGTGTCGGCCCGGCCCCTTGTTTTACCAATGGACAACGATATGAATAAATCCTCAACAAAAAAGAGACATCAGTATGTCTCTCCCTCCAAAAAGAAGAAAGAGAGACCAGTGTCCCTTTTGCAAATCTCCAAATTAAAATTAATGTTATTTTTCGGCCCATAAATCACAAATATGTTTGGGGACCATTTCATGATTAGACTGGTCAGAAGATATGACATGCTCTCATCCTATCAACAACATTGCCCATAAGTTTGACATAAAACCAGGGGTCTCAAAATAATGTGAATCAAATAAGCAACTTCGAATATGTTGATAGAGAACCAAAAAAAGAAAAAGAAAAAGAATAATTAAATAGAGGTTAAAATATTTTAAATTTTATTTTTCAGTTTTCGAGAATTTAGTATTTAGTTTGGAGATTTTGTTTTAAACGTTACGATAAATACTAAATTGATTAAGGATGATTCAACTTGCTCAATATTGACATGTGTTAATCACTAAAGATATGATTGGTAGTTACAATTTTAACACAATCACGAATATAGCTTCTTTCTATGACAGAAAAATCATGCTTTATTTATATTAAATCCATTGATTCCAAGATAATGAGACATCATTATCTCAGAAAGTAAAATACAACGACTAATTTAAGTCACGTAATACAACCAAGCAAACAAACATTCTTAGCTAAAACAATACAACTGTATGGTTTTTCCTCTTATGAATTACTTAAGAAAGATTGAAAAGTATTAAAATTAAATGGCAAGTAATAAAAATTAATATAATGTCATGCAACAATTATAAGTACAACATTTTGACTCGAATGATTGTTTTGAAGGTTGACCGGTGAATCTCAAATGAATGATAAGATTTAGAGATAGTATTTAAATGTAATTAAAAGTCTCATTCACAAATAGTGTGAAAAGTAATATATAGTGCTTGAATCAGTAACAACATAGGAGAATTGTAATTTTCAATTTTCTTATATAATGTTAAATTAGAATGAGAAAAAATTATTATTATTGTGAAAATAAGAGAGATAGAGTGTTGTGTTTTAGTAATTATACTATCTTAAAAATATTTTGTTGTCGAACTTTCAAAGGTTAATATGTGCTCATAAACTCCTGTACTTGAAACTAAAAATACAATAAAACTTCACAATTAATTATTCAAAAAGAAAGAAGAAGAGGAACATGATAAGAAGTAGACACAGAAGAGAGATTTTGTTGTATATCTCAAATATTTATGCTGGCATCTCTTTTGTAGTGGGAAGGCATATATACATCCATTGAATACAATCTATTTAAAAAGAGTAATATATTATAAAAATCTTAAACAAATTAATTAAAAAAATTAACGGTTACAAGCTTAAATAAGAAAATAAAGATAATAATAAAAGTAATATATTTGAATAAATCAATATACTTTTATAATAATAATAATAATAATAATTTTTATTTATCTTAAAATAAAAAAAAAAGAAAAGAATACTCTTGAATAACATTGTTTTAAACAATTACAAAAGGGATGAACGTGAGACAACTTAAGATAAGTAAACTACAACCTTTAAGGCTTTAGAGTTGAGTTTAACAACTAATAATAGTACAATTTTGTTAATAAAATTCAGCTTGAAAAAATAAAGGTATGAACAGATAAGAAAAGTAAATGCAGAATCTCATCTTTGACAAAGGAAAAATATGTTTGCTAATATATATTTCTTTGAAACAAAGCACGTGGAAAAATTGTAGGAGATGGGCTACAACAATGAATTCATCTCGTGCTGGCAATGGGCTACAATAACAGCCTTAGCCTATCTACCATACCATTCTTTTAATTAAAACTTTAGAATGTAAGATTGAATCCAAGCCACGTCTCCTTTATTTATTTCTCCATACTCTTGTACATAGATGGACTTCTCTGCCTTCCACCTTACTTCCTTGCAATCCAACTTAATTAGTCTAATGAATTAGAATTTTGAAAAATTCTAAAGTACTAGCATATTTGTTACAATTTATAGATTGAACATTGCTTCTGAAGCTATTATTAAAAAAATTCATTTTTAACAAACAACAAATATTAGGTATCAGGATAGTTTTTATCAATATATTCTTTGTTTCATAAATTAAACTATTTGTAGATATTTAAAAAAAATTTCACCTATAAAAATACATTATATTAACATTTAATGTGTTGCTATTATTTCTTAATATTTTATATCAACAAAATTATTTGTTAATGCAATACTATTATACTAAAATGTGTTGAGATATCAAGCTTCACCTTGGTAAGTTAACAACAAAATAAAAATTATACAAGGAAGAGGACTTTACTCTAAAGTAGCCTAAGATATTTTAAACAAGTGTGTTGCTCAAACTTAAGCCTTAGCTCTCTACTTCATCCATGGATTGGACCCACATATTAAAATTCTAATACAGTATTAAAAGCTCATATTAAAAAAAATGAAGGTAAAAAATAAAAAGAGTCAAACAAAAATGACAATTAGATTTGTGTTATTAATTTTAAAATTCTAAAATAATATATAGTGTCTATATCAATAATTTAATTAAAAAAAAACTAATAGAAGTTAATTTAATATTAAGTTGTTAGTGAAACTTTTAGTTTACTTAAGATATTCTCTTATAGTAAAGAAAAGAAAATCCAACTTAAACTTTCTATTTTTATTTTTTGTCTTTCTTATTCAAAAAACTTGAGAAAAAAGGCAAGAGTTTAAAAGAAAGAAAAAGACATAACGTAACGAAGTTTCATGACTAAAATTACTCCAATACCAACCGAGCCTAACTTCCCCTTGTTTTTTAAGTTGTTTCGCAAAATAAAGTTCGTACAGTTTAGCATTAAGTAATTAATCAAATGACATGTTCATACATATAAAAAGATAGGATTACTCTAAAGGTTCTTTACTCATATAATTTGGGTACAGATATATTATACTATAGGACTCAACTTTGATAATGCAACATCCTTATCATATTGATGTGGATCCAATCTGTCCGGATTAATGAAATACCACATGCAGTTTGACACTTGTCAGATTGGGCCATTGTTTTTTAAGAATTGGTGCAATATAGCTAAAAACTTCACTTAAAGAATATATGGCCGAAAAGCTGAATCGTGACCTTTTATCAATAAAAGAACCTAACGTACTATAATCACGTTATATGTGCAGGTGTATTTTTGGGGATACACAGCGCTAATATTTGGTCGTGCTCTTTAAGATCAAGTGCATTATGGTGCCTTTTCTAATGCACTTCGCATCTTTTGCTGCATCGCTGGACTAACTCGTACGCGGAGCAGTAATTGATTTGATGAGCAAAGTGTTTAATGTATATATCATCTTTGCAGGCAAGAATTCAGCGGTTTTATTACCGTTGTCAGGTTGGGACGGACCACTAAGATTTGTCAAACCTTTACTTCTCTGTAAGTGCTGTGAAGCGTAAAGTAAAATGAAAGTTTAGCTATTACTGCAATTAATTTGAAGTAATTATATTTATAGATTATTTAAATTTTAATACATGATAAATAAAATTTATTATTTGAATTTTACAGATTTTCTCATCTTGGTAAAAATGTGAATAGCTCGTGGGTTGAGGTGCACACTCACATTATCACCTAATCTCACCAGATTTGTCAAGCCAACGCGCAGTACCGTTATGCCAGTCCAACTACCAAATTGTCACACTATGCTCCACCACCTTTCATTTACTTCCGAAACAACTCCGGTCTGTTGTATGAAAATGAGAAGCCAACTCGCTATCGATGTTGAGTCAGTGAGGGGCTCCTAAATCTTGTACTCGTGATTAAAGCTTTAATTGTTTGTTGTTTATATAGTTGAAAGCTTTAATAATGGAGATAGCCAATAAAATTTTTTAATGAAAATTTATCTCATAATTTTTTTAAAAATAAATTAAAAATATTTATTCTAATAAATTATGCTGAAATTTTTACTAAAGTAAATAAAAAATTATGTAAATTATAAATTACTTTTACAAAAACTTCTCATAAACTTTTTCAAACACTTTGGCCGTCAAACGTAAAGAATCTAAATTTAGTCAATAAAAAATGACGTGACTAATGCAGTAAAAAATTGATCTTTTATATTTATATAAATTAAATATAATATAACACAGACACCAATTTTAGTCTTTTGCATTTGATTGATGTAAAGGTGAAGATCAATCCTTTTCCTTTTACGGCACTGATTGCATTTTTTTAGCTGCATCAAATCCGGATTTGAAACGAAAGCTGATGCTTTTATACCTTCCCCTATATATGTGTCATTTCTGAAAAAGCAGTTTAGCTGAGTGATGCATCATTTTCTTTTCAAGGCAGAACACGATATACTAATCTAATCCTACCTAAACATTATCGAAATAAAGTTCATGCTCTACATTACATTTTATTCATGTTATATTATATGTGATTTGTCGCTACCGTATTATATATCCATATGATTAATAATAATATATAACAGGTAGTTAAGAGGCTGTGACATAGAAGGAAATGTTAGATTTAATTTCCCAAGTAAAGCACACCCTAAATTCATATTAAAAAAGTTATGGATGAAACATCATAATTCATAGGGTTATTTTAGTCATGAACATTAGCCCTGTACTTGACCTATAACTCTATATAAAGAGGCATTCATCATTTCTCTGCTCCAATGAGGTTCATCCTTCAAGCACATCCTCATCAGCAAACTTGATTCTCATTTCGAACCTCGTTCAGTTAGCATGGGGACTTGTGATAAACACTCGATTCTTTATCTTATGCGGATTTTCATTCTTTGCTTGTTATGTTTCATGGCCAAAGTTGAAGGTTTAAACAAAAAGGTCTCAGGCTTTTATGTGTTTGGAGACTCCACGGTAGACCCAGGAAACAATAACTATATAAATACAGCTTTCAGGAGCAATTTTCCACCGTATGGCAGGGATTTTTCCAACCAAGTTCCTACAGGCAGATTTACTAATGGGAAGCTTCCCACTGATTATATTGGTAATTAATTAACATGCTTTTACATGCATATATGATTCAGGAAAGTTCAAGACTAGATTAATTAATTAATTAATAACTTGCTTTGAACAACCATGTGTACATGCACCACAGCTTCATATGTAGGTCTCAAAAAAGTTCTTCCAGCTTATTTGGATCCAAGTCTCAGCAATAATATTGAAGAGCTAACAACAGGAGTTAGTTTTGCTTCTGCTGGTTCTGGGTTTGACCCACTTACATCAAGCATCCCTGTATTGCTCTCTCTTTCTTTTCATTTAAGACTATGAGTATGTTTGTTTTAGTTTATTTTAAATAAATATTTTTTGAAAAATAAATAATTATCTTTGCAGAAATAAATAATTCCAAACACTCATTATACAGTGCATGCATGGGCAATAATAGCCTGCGACGTGAACTTAGTTTGGATAATTTTTTCAATAAAAATATAAGAAAAAATATTAAATTAAGAGTAAAAAATAGTACTTACATAGTTTTTTTTTTTATAATAAAAGAGTGTGTTTTGCTAGTATTTCTCTCACTTATATACTATTATTTATTTACTGAAGAGGAAATAAAAGTAATATACACAATGTAATGTGAATTCTGTATTTATTTCAGAATGTAATTCCAATAGCAAGACAGGTAAAATATTTCAGAGAATGCAAACAGAAGATGGAAGATGCGGTGGGTAAGCAAAGAACTGAAAATCATGTTAAGAAGGCTGCGTTTTTCATCAGTGCTGGCACGAATGATTTCGTTCTAAATTACTTTGCTCTACCAATTCGAAGCAAGAATTATACTATCTTAGCCTACCAGCAGTTCTTAATCCAACGCGTGAAAGAATTTATACAGGTTTGCTTCAATTACTCCCACGTGATACATCATTTCTTCATCAAATAAATTCCTTTTTCTTGTTTATAGCTTTAGCCTCCATGTTATTTATAAGTTTGAACATTCTTCCAAACGTGTGGTTATAATGAAGTGCCAGGTTAAATGACTATTTACTTTACTTATATGGTATTATAATTAGACTCAAATCTATGTGTCAAACTTAAATATTTATATTTTTTACTAATTTTCTGTGGAATACAAGATTAACCCATTCAAAATATTTCTTAATTAAATTGCTCACTTTTTTTTATGGTTATAGAAATATATCCGATACTTAACTTTTAAAAAACACCAAAGCAAGTTATTTCCTAAATCCGTTCCCTGCTAAGATAAAACGTGTTTTTTCTAACGCATGGTTTGGATGAGAGAAAGTGTAGGGAAAGAAATTAGGAGAAATTTTGTGTAGAAAAACAATTTTTTTCTTGTTTAGATGTTTTTTTTTTTAATAAAAAAAATATATATATATATAAATAAAAAAAATCTTTTCACACTAATATAAATTTAAAAACTCTTATATTCTTAATAAAAAAATATATATATATATAATTAGATTAAAAACTCCTATATTCTTAATAAAAGAAAAAATATATAATTAGAGACATTATTTTCTCACATTAATATAAATATAAAAACTCTTAAATTTAATCTAAGTTTTTCATTTAATAAATTATAGTTTATTATTACACTAATCATTAGATATAAATTAAATAAAAAGTTCAGATTAAGTATAAATTTTTTTAAACTTATACTAATATAAAAAAATTATTTTTCATGTAAATAAGTAGAGTTCATAATTTTTCTTTCTCTTAATCTTAGCCATAATTTGTACAGTACAAGGGGCCTTCGTTTTCATTTTATTTTACTGTTAAATATATATTTTTAAAATAATAAATATTTTAAAAATAGAAAGGCATAGAAAAAAAGAGCATATTAAATTTTTTATTAAAATAAATTTATTAATGTTATTATAAAATATATTTTATATAATATACATATTTTACTCATCTAAATAATATAGTTTTTTTATTCTCCTAATTTTTTTTCTTTTATTTCATTTATTCTTTCAAACAAACCGTAAATGTGAGAATAACTTGTACGTAATGTGCAAAATGAAACGATCGAATGCAAGGAAAGAAGTGAAGATGTTTTGATTGATGAAAAGTGGAGTGAAAATGAATTGCCCTTCGTCCTCATTCCTCAATCACCCTGTATTTTTTTTTTAAACGTTTGGTTCATATTAAATGTTTCTTACCCGTCTTTGTATCTCACGTAAATGCAAATCACGTAAAAGATATATTAGAAAGTTCATTAAATTATTTTAATAAAATGACTAAATTTCTTAAACTATATAATTTATTTTTTTAGATAGATAAATAAAAATAGTAAAAAATAATCAACTTATAAGATAAATATTTAAAAATTTAATCGATCATAAAAAATGTATTAAAAAATATGTTATTGACATTTTTTATTTTAAAAAAGCTTAGAAAACTTTTCGATACTTAGTGTGACAGGTGTTATTCCCTTGTCTTTTTTTATAACACCCACTTATACAAAAATCATGGCCCTTAATATAAGATTGTTCTTAAAACTTTAGAAATATTTATTATTTTAAATTTTCAATAATTAGTACGAAAGTAGAGTTTGATTTTCAATAATATTATTTTCAAAAAGTAATACATTTACTATTTTTAACAACTCTTTTGAATTTTATAAAAGGATCGTATAAATATGAAAAATACTAATTAGTATTCTAAATAAATCATATATATATATATAAATTTAAAAATATAACAATAAATTCGTTTTATAAATTTTATTATTTTCTACCGAAAACCATACATAGAATTATTATCCCTTAGTGGCTTGAAATGCTATTTACTAACTATATTATCAACTTAAATTATACTTCACATTTTTTGACAGTTTGTTTTCAACGACTGAATTGCGATTTCGACATTATAAAATGCCCAAAGAAAAATATACTCAACAACCTGCTTATATCAATGAAATTTTTTACAGTAATTTTTTTTCACAATTTTCTTTTGTTGATCACATCACCCTTTTTACAAAATTTAAAAAAATTTAACATACTTTGAAATTAATTTAAAAAAAATGATTTAACTTTTTTTATTAAAATAACAGACATTTTAAAAAGAATAGCGAAAAAAGTAGTTAGGCTGAGGTGGAAGTATAACTGTGCTAAGAGAGTGCGCAACGTGTGAAAGACAGAAATTAAAAAGAAGAGTAAAGACAGTTCGATGGTGGCCAATAATGAAGAGGGGGCAATACGAGTGGGTAGCGTGGTTGAGGGTAGATAACATCACTATTAAAGATCCAACCAATCTTCACCTCAATCAAAACGCAAAATCGCCCTCAAACGCACGCCTTAGCATGGCAAGATATAAATAATAATGTTATTTTATTCACATTTTTTATTTCTATGTCATTCAATCCCATCATTGAAATTATTGTGAGAATAGCATTACTCTACATATATGATCTTAAACATAACATGTGATACTAATGTAGACTGCAACGTAATAAGTAGCAGTACACTTGGACATTAATTACAATGGAAAATAGCACAAAAACATTGATCAAATTAAGAAATACTTTTGACGTTATTCCTCAGGTTATTCAATAGAAAGGGTTTACTTAGAAATAATTCAATTTAAAAAAAAAAAAAACGAAGCAGTTGTTTGAAACTAGTTGTTGCAACTCACTTACCAAGATTATCCACTTACCTCGGAACCCGGAGACCTATGAATGATATCAACAGTAGAATGTCTGTATTTAATGGTTAATAAATAATTAACTGGACCACAAGCAATAACGTGCCTTGCCATGGACTATCCTGTGTTACTTTTTCCTTTTTAAAAAATAAAAATATATTTTAATAAATAATGAAAACTGTGTTAAAAAATATTTTATTAGTATTATTCTTTAAAAACAATCTATAAAAAGTGTTTTTATAATATACTTTAAATTTTTATCAATTTCCATCTCATCATTTATCTTATCTTGTATTAATTTTATCACTCTATGTTGTAGGATTTTTTATATGAATAGATATATATTTTATAAACTATATGGCTGCAGATGGGAGGCAAGAACAAACTAGCTAGGTCCGACCTGCCACTAATTAAATCGTGGTCCTACATACTTATCAAAGTTGAGGTTTAAACATCGATACTGTTAAAAAAAAAAATGTAATTACTAAAAAATATTTATTCTATAAAAAATTTAATATATATATATATATATATATTGTAATAATTAAAATTATTAATAACATACACTAAATTTTTAATCAATATTCTTATTATAATCATTAATATAGTTTAAATATACATTAAACTTATCCATAAAAGTTAGTAGAATTATCAAAATCATTATAAAAATATATTTTCTTGTAGTGTGTTCCCTTGATGCGACAGTAATGTCATTCATGAACGTTAGTAATATACTATTTTAAATATATTTTTAATTATTATATTAAAAAATTATTTTTAAAAATAATTAATTCATGAGATAAATATTTTAATATTTTAAAAAGATTAATAATAAAAAATATATTAAAACATGTATTGTTAATTTTTCTTTAATATTATGAGTACTGTCGGTAACATTACCAAATAAATTAGTTTGAAGTTAATAAACTAGTTGAAAAATGAAAACTGATGATTTAATTGATTAAAAGTTTTCATAAATTAGATGTTGAATTAACCAATAAATTTTATTTTTAATTTAATTTATAAATATTTTTATTAGTAAATAATACAAATAAATTAATATAATTATTTTAATAATTCTGTGGCACAAAGAATGATTTTTCTAATGCATGCCTTTGGCACACAATAAAACTTAGAAACAGTAAACTTGTATTAAAAATCATAGAATGTAAAGTGTGGATAATATATTAGTGACACACATTTGGGCTTGTCGAAGGAGCCATATGGGCATTGAACAGGCTTTGGGAAAACTTTTCACAAAGGCCAAGAAACGCAAGAGTATTAGGCCGAAAAAACAAAAAACTTGAAGAGTGAAGTTAATTAACCAAATTTAATATCAGATGGAAAATGAATCCTTCCACGTTTAATTTTAATAATGATAAAATTGTGTTGATATTTTATACCTTTTCAAGTCTTGATAAATCTGTGTATTTGTATACTGCATTGTTTGGTTGTTGAATAAGACAACACAATTTCAATTTCCATGCAATGACCAAGGTTTTTTAATTGAAAAAAAATGCTCAGGATTTATTGGTAGAAGGTGCTCGAAAAATTGCAATAGCTGGAGTTCCTCCACTGGGATGCTTACCGCTTATGATCACCTTGAAATCTCCTAATGCCTTTCTCCAGCGTGATTGTATTGACAAATATTCCTCCGTTGCAAGAGATTTCAATCTACTCCTTCAACATGAATTACAGTCAATGCAATTGCAGCTCAATATGTCTAATCCAGATGCTAAGATCTATTACGTTGACATATATGGACCTATAGCCGATATGATTCAAGCGCATAAAAAATTTCGTATGTAAATAAATTTATAACTTGCCTGAGACAATATGTTTTCATTCTGAGCAAAAATTACAAAATAGTTTTTCTCCTAACATTTTTTTTTCTGTGCTAGGATTTGAAGATGTTGACAGTGGCTGCTGTGGAAGTGGGTACATGGAAGCATCATTTTTGTGTAATAAGATTTCAAATGTGTGCACTGATCCATCCAAATATGTATTCTGGGATTCAGTTCACCCAACAGAGAAGGCATACCATAACCTCTTCTTGGCTAGCCTACCCATCATTAATTTCATCATCAACAACTAGAAAAGTTCCTATAGACACATTCCTTCTTTTTCCTTTTTTCGATCTTGGCCTCCCAATATGTGATTTGTCAATAGGATATTTATGCGAGTGGCATATGCAAAACAAAATGCAAATATTATTTGTAACTATTGTGATAAATGTGATCGGAAATGTTTTAATTTGGATAAAATTAATATTAGAGTTATATCAACAAAATCACAAAATCTTTCAATTACCCTTGGCAGGATTCTTGATGATTGAAATTTTAGTAATTAGTTAAATTAATCCCTGAAAGATATTGAGTCTGTCATATTTTTTTCTTAGAATATGATAGTCTAAACTAATTAATCTGTGTTATAAACGTTGGTCACCCAATTTATAGCCTCCACGCAATAAATAACATTTAATTGCACCTCAAGTTTGTTGCTCCACATCACAAATAACATCTACTACCACAAGCCCATAAAAATTTCCTTACCTTAGCCACTTAACCCATGAAATCACCATTACTCAACCTACTGCGTGACCATTGTGAGTAAAGGTGGTCATTGATTGTGAATCAATTAATTTGTTTAAAGGTGGGATTTGTATTAAAGAATGTTGTATCTAGGATAGGAGAATCTAAATAGAAGAAACAATTAAACGTACCAAAAGTACATACACACTTATATAGAATAGGATCAAATGATATACCAAGTAAAATGTAAAATGATATATTCATTAATTTTTTTTTATAAAGATGAGTTTTTATTAATTCAAGGGTTGAATATTAAGTTTTCTTCAAATATAAAATATACGACATCTGTAAAATTTTACATAATTTAAAAATTAAGGGATACTTTATAGTCTCATTTTATTTTAACATATATTTAAAACATCGCTAAATAATTATTATTAAATACATATTCATAAATATTTTCTCTACAAGTATGTTATCTCCTGACACTACCAAACAAGATGATGTTTAATATCTTGGTCATTATTCAATGGTTAAAAATTTGTTTTAGTACCTATTAGCATATTATGATGATTTTTCTTAGGCATATTGCTCCCATAGACAGTAAATGCTCAGGAAACTAATGTTATGAAGATGTTCTAAAGTGCTCACCTTAAAGAAAGAAGTCATGAGACATTTGTTTAGACAGTAAATGCTCAGGAAACTAATGTTATGAGAGCAGTATGCCTAAAGAATTGGAGAAATCATGAGAGTGAGATAATAGATAGTAAGGCAAATTTTTAGGCATAATCTCAAATTTTTTTAAAGTTTATATCAAAATAGTATATATAGAATAAAGAAAAAAAAATAACATTTTATTATTATAACTAGAACGTAGTACATGAAAATTTTAAGTCTTACATACACATTTATTTCCAACAATATATATATATATATATATATATATATATATATATTATGTGTGTGTGATATTTTTATGATTTTGAGTCATAAATTTAAATGTTCTTATCACTATAAATAATAATAAAATAGTAAATAAAAGTTAATTAAATCAGATAAAAAGGAATAATGTTAAAAATTAAAATATTTCTTAGAATTTGTCTGATATTTTTTTTTGTTGCTATGTTGTTTAACTGTACACCTCTTATTTATCTATTAATGTTTTTATTGTTGCCATTGTTTTACTCATATACAAAGTGAATATAATTTGATGTACATTCTTATATAAATTCTTTATTCTATGAATGGTAAATTATATTTCATTTTAAAATTGTATAACAATAAATAAATGAAGTATTTGCAATAACTTATAACATGATGTATAACTTCTTTATCGTCGTGCATTATAAATAAATAATACTTATGTGTACCTATGTTATCTTAGGTCTTATTTTAAATACATTTATCACATAATAAATTTAATTAATTAAGTAGCTATTTTATTTACTAACCAAATATGTTTCATTAAAAAAAATGTAATCAAATTAGTTAATTTAAATTAAAATCATTTACTAATGCAACATTTAATAACGTCTTTGTATAGCAACTCTACTGTTATGTGTTATAAATTATTGAGACCTATGAGTATTTATGCTATTTTAAGTTTCAAGTAATATATAAATATTTTTAAAAGTTAAAAACATAGTTTATTCTTTAGACACCTTGTATCAACCAAAATATATTATTTTAAATATTTTCTTTCTTTAGTTATAAATAAGTTTATTTTAAATTAAATCTTAAACTCATTTTTAAATTATCCAACAAATAATTCACTAATTCATTAACTAAAATAAAGTCATTTCACTAAATTAATTTACAGGAATTTATAATGCTAACAACAATTTATAATGCGTTATAAATCGTAAAAATTTTTGTCTACCAACATTATTGGGTCTGATTATGCTTAGGATTAGAAGAATTATGTAACAATGTCATTTTGGATGCACGTCCTATTTGACTATCATGAAAATTCTAGTTAGGGTTTGACCTTTTCTTGATGCTTCACATCTAGTAAATTTTTTACTATTATGGTCAACATAAGATATTAAATTTTAACTCTAATAGCCTTTTAGGATTACAAGCTACCTTTACATGTAAAAGAGAGCACTAGACCTTTAGGTTAGACCCTTAGGTGACTCAAAATAAGACACAAAGGGAGTATTTTTTATTATTTCCTCTTTAAAAAATCATATAAATCATTAACACTTTAAAGTTTAAAAAAAAAATAAATTTTGTTGTAGCTTGAAATAATGTTAAGAATTAGTAATTCACATGATTCTCTATGTTAATTTTCTTTATATCATTATCATTTTAGATATTATTGCATATCATAAATCCAAAGATCATGCTTATTGTCATTTCAATAACATTTGTTATAACTATAAAATTAGTTTTTAAAAAAGGTTAATAATAACAATTGATATATTTTTTGCATCATTACACTGTCATTTGAAGTATTATCCTTCTAAGCATCAATTTATATATATAAAAAAGTAAACAATAATTTTTAAAAATATGTTAAAGAAGATAATTTTCAAACTGTTCTTTTATTATCATCTATCATCACATATTTATGAAAAATACAGGGAATATTTTTCCGATGTTGAAACAAAGGAATTGACATACAAGCATCATAACATATTAAATTAGTGGTGCTATAAACTGAGTTCTTTAGTTATAGATTCGATGACCTCATCAGCTATGATCTCATACATCTTCTGCGTTGGATGAACAGCATCCCAGAAAACGTATTTGTCTGGATCTGAACAAGTATTCATCCCTTTGCACGAAGCCCCATATTCTATTACCCCTGTCCCACAACAACCTGTTGAACCTTGGATAAACCCTGCCATCAACCCAAATGAGGATAGTACATTAAAAATAAAATAAAACTTAAACATGTTGGTGATTGATTTGAACGAACAAAAGCATTTTATAAGTTGTAGTAATTTGGAGTAATATTTTTCTCTTCTTTATTTAGTACAAAATTTTAAAAATTTCTCGTGAGCAGTGGCTTGTTTGTTGCTAGAAAACTCTTGGACAAAGTTAGACAAACCTCTTACGTTAAAATTTATCTCAAATTTTAAAGAAATTAGATGAAAATATTTTTAAAAACGTTAAACTATATAAGTTAGCTTTAATTTATTATTTTTTTATATTTTATGAGTTCTTAAATTAAAAAATAATCTAAATTAAGCCTATATATCAAGAAAAAAATTTGAAAGAAAACTATTTTTTTTAACTAAAACACCCGTAAATAATTGTATTTTATATATCTATTCATATTTGTTTTTTTTATCTTTTCTTTTTTGCAAACAGTGTGGCATAAACAAATATTCATGAGTCACAAAAGTTGCTACCAAGTTTTCTTACAAAATGATCACAAAAGTATACTGTGCACACAATTGTCATAAATAACCCCATCAACAACAAAACAATAAAACAACGAAGCATGGATGCTTAGTTGACATACTAACCGTATTTACGAGGGTTCAACACTGCACTTTGGATCATATCGTAAATATCAACATGAACAGCAATCTGTAAGCCCAGCTTTGTCTTCAAATTGTGTAGTCTTTGCAATACTTTTGCATTGAATGAGTAAGCTACGTTGTTTAAACTTCTCACGCAGCTTTGCTGGTTGTTCATTGCCTTCATAAGTGGAATGCATCCCATGCGTGGGACCCCTACAATAACCAAGTTCTTGCAACCAAGTCTCTGCATTGCCTGTTACCAGTAAAATATTTAATGTGTATTTAGTTTAATTTATTTTTAAAATAAATATTTTTTAAAAATTAGCAATTTATCTAAATGATCATTTTCAAACAAGCATTTAGTAATATTTTATATCTTAGAGAAAAAGGAAAAGAAATAGTTTAAAGACTAAGCAAGAAGTATAGAAGGAAAAAAACAAAAATTAATAAAAAAATTCTTCAAATTAAAAAAATTAAAAAGCATGAGTTTAAGAAAATTTTAGAAAGTTTATAAATTTTACTATTCTCATTTAAAAACTCTTAAACAAGAGTTGTCACTAAATAAACCTTAAAATTTCTTCATTTGTTTCCTCTAAAAATTAACTCACAAATAAAGCTTAAAGTAACAAGACACATATTAACTACAAAAGAAATACAATTAATATATTTATTCACATTAACATTATATTTTAATTTTCTAATTTTAGTTAATATGTCGTTTCACTTTTAAACTATATTTATTATTGGTGTGTTAAAATATTCAAAATTTGAGGAATTATAAATAAATGTTTGATGATAGTAGAAGAGTTCATAATTAAGAAGATAAGATATATTTAATGTTATCTTAAAGTTTAAACAACAAATTAATTAAAAATTTTGTTTTAAAAAATCAATTAAAAAAGAGTGGAAGGAGTATATTTTTTTAAATAAATAAAAGCCACCCTGATTGGTCGATTTGTGAGAGAAAAAATAATTTTTTTTTGTGAGATCAGATTTATATTTCATTCCCATCGTTGAAAAGAGTATTAGAAAAAATAAAATGGGAGGAACACTGGTATAGGTTTCTTAACAAGATATTTATCGAAAAGGAACAAATATTGTTAACATATTTGAGGCAGGATGAGTACTGAAAATCGAAAGGTAAAATCAACTTAGTAATGTAATGTATGATTTGAATTATCTCTAGTTTGTACGAGGGCTTAGGTAAATTTTTAAACTCTCACTTAAGTAAGATAAAATAACTTAAATGAATTTTGCTTAAGTGAACCTTAAATATTTTAAACAAAATTAGATAAAGAGCACCTTTTATTAGACATATTAACTCACTTAAGCGAATGATTGTCTGCTCAAATAAGCCACAACTCGTTTAAATAAATAACAACTTACTTAAGTAAAAATTAGACAAATAGCACCATTTTACAGACATATCAATTCACTTAAGCGAGACTTAATTAGTTTAAGTAAAAGTGAATTAAAAATAACTTAAGCAAAAAATGAATAAAGAGTCCCATTTTTTAAACATATCAACTAGCTTATGTGAGGCTTAATTAACTTAAGCATATGATGTGCGCTGAAGCGAATGTTAGTCCGCTTAAGCGAATGATGCTGAACTTTGAAAAAAAATAGAAAATAATTATATTAGATTACAAAACAAAAATTCCATTTACAATGTTTACATGATTACAATGAACATTAAACAAAAAGTAAATAAGGTACAAAATTTATTAAGGTTAATTAAGGATTGATGAGTTGTGTCATCCAAAGGTTCCTACAGAAAAAGGTTAATTAGCATAAAATATTATTCAATAAAGTAAGAAAATATAACTTTGTAATTTTATGTTTTATGAATTTACCATCAATAATATAGTAAAACTAAATTGATTGTTGAAAGTATTTGGAGGATGATAAGATAGAGATGTCATACAATGGATGTCACAGGGTTTAGAAGGTGTATGTTGATATTCCTAAAATATTCACAAATTAATACATACATGATTAATGAAAATAGAGAAATTGACTTATTTTTTGGTAAATACATTAAGTAATGTACTTCTAAATGTTAGCTTTGTAGTTGACCTCTTATTGGACCATTCTTTTTCGTTATAACTCAACTCAACTGTCTGAATCGTGTATATCAATTCTTCTTTATGCTTGAATGATGCTCAAATCCCTTTTGGTTATGTACCTTCATAAATGACCAATGTATCATCATCATTGTAACTCTCCATATTATGTTCTTTTAATCAAAATTGTGCTTTTTAACAAGACACCATAGTTTTATATTCATCAACCAAGTGAGCTAGTTGTTGATATCGTTGTGTGCTAACAAGTTTAGAATTTCTTTTAACAACTATTTCTTTAATATTGTGTATAATTCCATAATGATATTCTTTTGTCCATTCCTTAATGATAAATTTTTCAGGCACAACATTGACATTGTTTTCTTCAAAAATCATTAATGCAGGGGAACAAAGTATCCAAATGTTTCAAATTTGTTACAACTGCAACGTATAAACTTTAAGACATGATTAAATAATACTTTTGATGATGTGTCTCACTATAGTAATGACATATTCAAACAAAGGAAAAAATTCATTCCTTTCTGACATGCAGCAGCAGGTAAAAAATTAAGCAAACTGTTGTTAGAATAGGTTAAAAATAATGTGCGTATAATTTCTTCACTTTTATTAACCATGTGTGCATTAATTTATCAATATTTTAAGAATATCAACCCAATTCTTCTTAACCCTATGACATTTATTGTTTGACACTTCTACCTTTTATTCTCCTAACACTTTCAACAATCATTTTAATTTTACTATATTATTGATGATAAATTTATAAAGGGGAAGGATCTTCTTATAACAGTGTAAGTCTGAAAACTCTTACACATAATCTGAACCTTTCATTTAACTTACATCTAACGGTTAATAAAGTAATAAATTATAACACATTAGATGTAAATTAAATAAAAGGTTCAGATTTTGTGTAAGAGTTTTTAGACTTACACAGAAGATTTTGTTCTATTTATAAAATATAAAATTATGAAGTTATATTCTTTTTACTTTATTGAATAATATTTTATTCTAATTAACTTTCTTTTTGTAAGAACCTTTAGATAACACAACTTGTTTAATCCTTATTAATTTTATACTTTATTTACTTTTTGTTTAATGATAATTGTAATAATCTAAACATTGTAAATATAATTTCTATTTTGTAATCTAATGTAATTTTGCTCTATGTTTTTTCAAGATTATATGTACCAAAATTTGTTTAAGGTGCACATTATTAGCTTAAGCTAATTCACTTTCACTTTAGCTAGTTAATATGTTTAAGAATGATGTTTCTGTGTTTATTTTTGTTTAAGTTAATTCACTTTCACTTAAGCGAGTTGATATGTATACAAAATGGGTGTTCTTTGTCCAATTTTTTGTTTAAGCTACTTCTTATTCACTTAAACAAGTTTGATATGTCTAATAAAGAATGCTTTCTGGCTAATTTTTGCTTAAAATGTTTAAGGTTTGCTTGAGCTATTTTCTCTCGCTTAAGTGATAGTTTAAAAAGTTCCTTAAGCTAGCCAATTTTTCTTTAGAAAAGAATTAGATGTTCAATTCTTGGGCAATTGGAGAGAATCCGAATCCTGTAATGTTATACCTCAAAATTAGATAGGTTACTCCTATAGGCCCGCGCTGATGCAAGAAAAAAGGAAGTCCACGTACAAAATTAAATTTAGTGAAGTAGGAGAGGCTTTTAAAGTGAATGGAATATAATTCACCAGCAGAAAAATACTAAAAAAGCTAAGAATATAAATGTAACAATTTATAGGTGGTGAAAGAAGGAACCTCAATGTCCTCAGAGAAACGGGAGAGTAAGAAATTCTGGAATTGTTGCAAGCTGAATTGCTTTGGACGAGTCGGTTCCAAGAAATAATTCTGCAGGAAATCATTTGTGCCTATACTAACAATGTATAAGGCATTACTTATGATGAAATCTGCTTTTGCTTTACCCAAAATTTTTCTCATGTGGATCTTATAATGCTCAAAATACTCCAGCTGTTTGGAAACTCGCAAAACATTCTGTTTCATCAAATAGACCACAATTAGTGGGAGAAAAACATTTAAATACTTCTTTCACTTCTATGTATGTTGGATAAAAGGTCATAGAATGTACCGAAACTTCAGCAGTGTAATCATCCACACCTGTAGCTGCTGATGCAAAACTAACCCCATATGGCAGATCTTCAACCTTCAAATGTGGGTCAAGAAATGCTGGAATCATTTTTCTGTACCCCAATGCTTCAGCTGCACGTATGTTTGGAAATGCTGAGATTCAGTTAACAGTCAATAGGATGGTTTTCTTTTAAGGAAAATGATCATCATTTCACACCCACAAAAATAGGTGTGAAATAAGTGTAGGGAAGTGAAAAATGAAAAGAAAGAAAGGATGAAAAACGGGTGCAAGAGAACCCTGAGTGTGTAAATATAACAACAGTGTGTTTAATGTGTATAACGAGACATGTTAAAAAATTAATAAATAATAAATTTTTATTAGAATAATAGTATTTAACATGTTATTAATGTATTCAATATTATAATATTCTGAAATTTTTAATAAAAAATTTAATATATTAGTTTTTATTGTATGTTTTTAAACACGTTAGAAAATTTGATATACCAGTTAGTATTCTGATATGAGCAGAAAAAAAGTGTTGTCTCAATCCATGTGACCTCTATTTGAAGGTTGAATTTCAACACAAGGTAAGCGAGTATGTACATTATCTTCACCTAATAGCTTACACTTTGCATATTAGAATGTGAAAAGAAAGGAAAAGCAGGATTGGATGTTTTTTACCATCAAAGTCCGTGGCAAGTCTCCCATTACTAAACCTTCCTGTTGAGCTGCTGTTGAAGAAGTCCTTCCCATAAGGAGGAAAGTTGCTTTTCATTGTGGTGTTAAGAGCATTGTTGTTGCCAGGATCAACACTTGAATCTCCAAAAACTAGGATGCATGTCACATTATACTTAGCTGCCAATTGCCTCACGAGATGAATGTCCACAGCAAGTGAATACCATGGCACTATTGCCAGTGCTAGTATCATTTTCACCATTGAGTACTCCATTATGGCCTTGCAACTAACAAGCACCTGTTAGGCCTCCAAGGAGTTCAAAATTCAAGTCTCTCTTTCCCAAGTGATTGCTAGTAAAAGTGTGATTGAACAATCCCATTCACGTGCCGGTCTTTAAATACACCCCATAAAGAGGGTGGTTGCTGAAGCATTTAAAATAGGGTTCCTTGCATTAATTACAACATTTATAGTTTAAAACTACTACACCCTGCCCTTCAACTTAAACTGATATATCGATCTTGCTGATATACTTGGAATAAGTAAAAATTGACACTTGCTGTTGTTTTATTTTTTAAAATATATTAATCTCAACACTTGAGGACTGAGTTTTTTGCTACTATTAATAATAAAATTTCATTAAAAAATTATAACACTTTATAACTTTAATGCATGAATATAGTTTTTAATAAAAATCTACAATTTTTATGTGTTTAAATTTAGTCCTAAAAATTATTGTTAATAAAACTTTATATCTTTTTTTTTTTTTTGTATTTGTACGTTTCTAAAATATTTTCAGAAGGGAAAGAAGATAACTAAATATTATTCTGCAAACGGATATCTTTCAGAATTTTTTAGAGAACATTTCTCAAAAGAAAAATCCAGCACGAAGCTATACGAACTGCAGTTCCATAACTCCACTATAATTCTCACTGAGACTTATAAATGCCACATGAACATTGGTTGAGTTGTGTTTGACTGTTAGAAAATGGAATCTTGATGGATTTTTATGAGGCCCCATTTGACTGTTTTGTTTACTGCATTTTTCTTTTCCTTTATAAATACTTACTGCATCTGTTGTCTCTTGTGACAAGTAAATTGAAATTATACATTATTTATATTGATAAGATATTAAATATAATTGTATAAATAAATATATTTTTTTACGTATAACAACAAAACTATATCGATAAAGTTGAAAAAAATTATGAAAATTATTTGAATTTTTATGATTTTACTTTCATAATATAAGTGTATAAAAACATGAACAATTAATGTTATACACTTTTCTTTGTATAATTCAATGAAACTGACGTATATAATTTTTTATTTTTCATTTAATAAAGAACTATTTTAAATTATTTGTTTTTGTTGAAATAAAAACGCAAATTTTATGAGTAAAAAATATCAATATTAAATCACTCCTACGAAACTACATGCATAAATTTGTCCCATTTGGTAAATTGCTTGTATTGATGCACAACATAATATGTTGGAAGCATGAAATTAAAGGGTTTCTTTTTTATATATATAAATATCAATGCACTATAAATAAATATTCTAGCAATATTTTAAAAATAAGAAAAAAGTTAAAAAAAGTTTACAAAGACATTAAACTAACATATAAATTATTGAAAATATTAGAATGATTGACACAAATATGCTTAAAAATTAAAATAATTTAAAAAAGTTATGTGAATAATCAAAATAAGTAAGTAAAATAATTTTCTACAAAAGCATTACAACTTGTTGCATAAAAAGAAAAACACATAAAAAAATTAAGGACGCTCACGCTCAATGTTTAGTCTTTTTTTCCGCATTAAAGGACAAAAAATAGTCTAAGCTAATTCACACATGAAATGAAATATTTTAGTGTAGGAATACTTAAACTTGTGTATGAGCCAATGCAATTCAATCATTGATTAGAATTTAATAAAGTAGTATAGGTAAAGCTATATAATATTCTAGAGGATAATCTATTTGATTGCAAAACTGTAATAGGCCTTAGAAAAGATTAACGTCAATGTAAGATAAGCCATAAATTAATACATAAAGATATAAGAGTAAAAATAGAAAAGAAACTCTTCCAATATTTCTTTCTACTTAAAGAATACTATTTCATTTTCAATGTACAAAAGTAAAACAAATCAAATTTTTTTAATCATACTCAACTCCATTTTCATCAAGATTTTATAATTTTTACAAAAAAAAATATCGATATAAAAAAAGAAAACATTTACTAGTAAAAAAAAAGACTTTTTACAATAAATTTTTATATCAATAAATAATTAATTAACTTAACAAAAAGTGTAGTGACATTTTTAAAAAATTAACATTAATTATTAAAATAACCTATGTAAAAAAATAATTTTTATATGAGTTTAATTTAGATTGAAATAAAAAATACTTTTAAATATTTAAAATAAAATGATGAAGAAAAAGTTAAAAAAAAAAAAAATGAGTAATTAAAATTGAGATGGGTGAAAATTAAAATATCCTGTGTGAATATCAACTTCAGGAATATTAAATGATAACCATATGGTTTGTTAACATGTTTTAAAAAGATATTTTTGTTAAATTTATAAAACAGATTGTAATATGCTTTTATAATTTTAATTATATAAACTTTATATACAACATTCCAAACGCTCCTGTATATCATATAATGTATTATATATGTTTGATTTCTATTTAACTTGTTATTATACTTAGAATAACAACAAAATTTTATGATTAATTTAATTATATTGATTAATAATTAACTGTTCTAATAAAATATGTGGTAAATTTTTTTAAAATCACAGAAACTTTTTAACATTTATGATCAAAATAACTAATTAGAAAGTACTTTTAAAATTTTTTAAAAAAATAAACAAAAAATATAAAAAAGTAAAAAAAATTAGAAAAAATGTTGAAATTTTAAAATATAAAATCCAAACTCCTTTTGAATGTTAGGGGTTAAATAGTTATCAAAAAGTGGTATAAATCAAAATTTTGTACTAAAAGTCGTATTGTTAAAAGTTTATAATTATACAGTGAGAAATTGTATAATTTTAAACATCAGTTACTAAATAATCAATGTAAAAATTATTTTTTAAATTAATTATTTTTAGAACTGATATAAAAAGTAATTTAAATATAATTTTCATATAAGTTACTTTTAAAACTAATGTAAAATATTATTTTCTAGATCAGTCCTTTCATAACTTATGTATAATTAATTCAAAATAAAAAAATTTAAAGACGTGCACAAGTGAAATAGTATAAAGTAAAGACAAAGAATATGAACTATTATCTTCAAGCTTCTATTAGCACTTTTGTTACTCTGTTAGAGAATATGAAGTCTTAGATTCTCAAACTAACTACCTTATTAACAAACACAAATTCTTATATTTTTTTCATTCTATATTTTCTTCTTCATAATCCACTGGTATACAATATTGGTTAACATTGCATATTTTTTATTTACATATTTAATAAAAATTAAATCTTAAATAAATATTTATAAACATTAAACATGTATATTGCATATTTTTCATTTACAAATTTAATAAATATGAAATCTTGAATAAATATTAACAAATATTGAAACTAAACAATAATATTATTTACATTAATAAATATTGATATTATTAAAAAAATTATTTATTAAAATATTGAAAGAAACAAACATTAATAAAAAAAATATTTTTTGTAATAAATAAAATTAGAATGTTTCTTAAGATTCTTAAGAAGATCAAATTCATTAGATTTTTTTACATATTAAGAAAAAACTAACCAATGTACTAACTAGTTAGCTAAATTAGGTAATGATATAAGTTCATGTACATCTATTTTGATTAAGCTCCCTTTTTTTAAAAACTTTTGTTAAGGTTGGATTTTCTTAACTTATTGTGATCTAAGTTGTTTGGTTAGGATCTTTTGTTGTGTTTTTTTTTTTAATTTTTTAAAACTCTATTTATTAAAAAAAATATTATTTATTGATTGTTTAGATGTATAAAGTGACAAGTTTTTATATAAGTTATTATACAACTTTTTACGTCGCTTGTATTTACATCAATTTTTTAACGTATATTAAATATCATTTTAACCAATATTAAAAGTAATTTTTATACATTGTTTATATTGTTATTATTTAAGCTAATTGAAAATGTTGTTTCATATATTTGAATAATTAGACGTTTTTCTTTTTATTTCCATCCAAATCATATATATATATATATATATATATATATATATATATATATATATATATATATATATAAACACATTACACACGAATGTTAAGAGGATACTAGATCATATGGAAATAAAGAACAATCAGTTCATATTACACTTTTTATTTCCATTCAATAACAATTCTGCATCAACCATTCGATAGAAAATGTGAAACAAAATTTTTCCAGCTTTCATAAAATTGATGTACTACAATTAATTTTCAAGGTCAATTTTTTTTTTTAATTACAATCACACTCATGATGAACAATAATTAATAATTTCTTCCATTCACTTAGTCAGACAAATAGGTAGCGTCAAGATTTGAAATGATGTTTAGAGCTAATCCTTTTCGGTCTTTGGTTAGTTTTAATCAAACCCTTAAGCTATTTTTATGATATAAATAATATAATTACACAATGTTATTATTGTTATATATATATATTGAAAAATACAATCCTCACATAAGTCTATATCTAATTAAGTTCAACTTAATTGCATGTAAATACTATCCATTTTCTAAATAAGGATGACAATTAAATCTACACTCAACATATATTTACAAAAAATAAAAATAAAAATCTAAGGATAAAAGAAGAATTACCCCAAAATATGTCAAAGATGTTGTATGGGTATTTAGGGTTTACATGGAAAAGCAAAATTATAAGAATGAATGTGAGTCTAAATATTATATTATTCGTTGGTGAAATCACAATTAATCTATTCCTTAGTTTTATTTTGCTATCTTTTAGAGGTTACTTTACTAAAATTCACTTAAATTATTTGTAAAATTTGTAAAATAATAAGTAGGTGAAATTTTTGTTTAATTTATTATTTTTTATTCTTAAGTAAATTATAATAAATATGAATTAATTTATGCTTTTTGTTGTTTATAAGACTATTTGCAATGGAGAAAATACTTAAAGGAGTCAAGAAAGACAAAGTTTTAGAGTTGGAAAGCTGAAAGTGAATTTTTCAACACTCAAATACACAACAACACTTCAAAAAGCAACCGAGTGTTACTTGGTATAAACATTCTAACACTTACTTATCAGAGAAAAATCATTGTGCTTTAAAATTATGGACATTCTAATGCTCAAGCTTTAAACTGTCAAAGAGTTGTGCACATTTTAACATTAAGTGTTGGGACATTAGCTTCCAACTTTTGAAATATTGAGTAAATGCTTCCAAGAGTTTTAAACATCCAACATGACTCAAAATTTTATAAATAGATGTTACACATGTCATTTTTTAAATATAGAGTCTTTTTTAAGTTTCTAATTTTTTAAGTTAGAGTTTAGAAATTTTCTTTCTTTTCTCTCATTTTTACTTTTTTGCCAAAAGTTTAGAAGAATTTTTTATGTTTTTTCAAATTATCTATTGAGTTTTATTCTAACAAAAAAATTGTTTATTTTCTTATATTATTAAAATTTAATTTTTATTTTTTTTTTCTTTTGCAAATTGATTGAATAGTTTTAAGTTTAATGTTTTCTTTTGTTTAACCACCTAGTCACTCTAATCCTGGTGTACAAATGCGTATATATTTAGAAGCGTTAACTATAAGTAAAATATATTATACTCGGAAGTAAATGGTTTAAACAAATAAAACTTTGAGCCCAACTAATTTAATAAATAAGTAAAAATTTCTACTCAAACTCTATTCTTCAACTCGGGAACCCTAATGGTCGATACCTTGAAATGAGGCGAAGGGGAAAAAAAAAAACGTTGAAAATATTTTTTTGTTGTTTCAATCAAATACAAGTAACACCACGATCTCACAGTTAAACGATAAAGTTCACGTCAATCTCTAGATTGGAGAAGTGGTATATTCAAAGATAAGCATAGTAATTATAATAATAACGAGAATAAGAATAATAAAAATAAATAAAAAAATAACATGATTCTGAGAATGTAAATGCCCTTTGAATGGATAAGTACACAAAGTTTAAGCAATTCTCCGTTGTAGTCTAGTTGGTTAGGATACTCGGCTCTCACCCGAGAGACCCGGGTTCAAGTCCCGGCAACGGAAGTGTTTTTTTTAACATTCAGATAAGCTCTAAGGAGCTTCTTGACATCAGCAGTGATTATTTTCAGCATCTTTCTGAACTTAGCTCTTCTTTTTCTTTGCCTTATACTGTTGCACCAGTTATGCCGGCTTCTATAGCTCTTGGTGGAGGGCATGCTCATGCTCCTCAAGTTATCGTCCCTAGTTGCAAAGAATGAGGATTAATTGTCTGAATATTATCTTACCAGTACATTCGACCCTCATAAAAGCTGCCAACAGCAGAAAAGTAGAGAAAAAGAAGGATAAAGTTAAGATATTAAACAATTTTTTCAAAAACTCATTGATAATACGTAAGTTATTGACGAGCCATATTGATAGGTGATTAATAAATTATATTTATTTAAAATTCTTAAAATAAATTATTGGCGAGATCTTTTCTATTGGTAATCTGCAAATTTCTGAAAGTGTTTATCTTTAAAAAAAGAAAAATATAAAAATAAAGAAATTTATTAAAATTTATCAATTAAAAAATATATTTACTTACTAAATGATTCATAGATTAAATTTACACATGAATATTAAATGTATTTAACTCAATAAAAACTTAGTAATCTTAATTTTTTATTTTTTAATTCATAGCTAATATTTTTATATTTTATTAAATAAAATATATAAATATATTTATAACATAAAATTTTACTATTTTTCTCAAATATACTCAATGAATAAAAAAATAAAATACTTTAATATAATTATGATTTTTTTAGTTATAAATAACTATACTAACACATAAAGAAACAAGATAAGTCAATCTATTTTAATGGTAAGGCATATCAACTATATATATGTAAAAAAAATATAAAAATAATTATTTTCTTATCTTATAAATGGACTTTGTAAGAAAATAATGTTCTATATATCTACAAATATATTTTACTTAAATTTTAAAAAAGTAATAAAAAAGAGCCATAAAAAATAATGAAAAGATTATAAAAAATGATATATTTATATAAGTAAGGTTTTTCTTTTTGGGCAAAACTCCTTTGTAAGTTAAGAAATTTCGCTCATGGGATATAGAATAAGGATATGCACATAATTGATATGAAAGAAAATAAATTTCAAATTTTCTTTTTTCCCCTTTTTAAAGGTGATGACTAACATAAATTAACGTGTCATATAATTTATTTATAAGTTAACAAAATAACTTGTTATAACAGGTTTGTAAGTTGTAATATTTTATTTTTATCTTTTGCCTATTTTACAAGTTAAGAATATGAATTTATTAAAAATTTATAATAGATTCTTTAACTAGAACATATTCTTTTATTTAGATATCAAATTAAATATTATATGTTTTTTAATTATTCAAACTTAATTCATTATCTTTCATTATGGACGCTGCTTTAAAAATTAAAGAGAAAAGTTCAATGTTGCAATACTATCTGAGTACCAGTGGCTGTAATGGGATGAAGCACATATCAATTATCACAATATACTAAACAAAAAAACTATTTTAAGATTGCATCCAAAGATCAAAGCATTGAAAGCTTTAAAAATAAAAACTTTATTCATAGTTTATTTTTAAATATATTTAACGATACTTTACTTAACAACATTAGCTGTGAGGAACTTCCGCACTTGCCCGAGCTTAAATCCACCGAAACATTATAAAGAGTATTGACGATCGAAATTAATTTGACAATATCAGTTGTGTGATACTTTTTGTTGCGGTGTTCCTGTTTATTATTCGTTGAGAATTGAGAAGTATCCTTCCAAGGTAGTAAGAAGAATTTCGTGACAGACGTATGTTTATTTCAATGTTAGATTTATATTTGTCTTTAAACGTAAATTAAAACACACTATATTGAGTTGGCTTATAAGAGGATGATCGATTTGTTTTGCTATAGTAATTTCCTTTTACACAAGTTATTTCACTAGTAATTGTGGATTGCTCCTCCAAAAATTTCAAGTTCAAAAGAAATCGCAAATTAATTTTTTACCGGATCGCATTTTCCCTCTCCTTCCAGGTGCATTTACCTTCGGTATATCTCCAAAGGAAAAAGGGCACTCCCCATCTTTCAGGTTACTTTTCTGTTCTGATTAAAAGTTACATTGGTCAATTTGAGAGAACTATTTATTTAAAGGCCATAATTTCTCTAATATTTTAGAGAATAAATAATATTTATATATTTTTTAAATAAATTACTAACTTTATTATCAATATAAAATTAATAATAATCATTATTTTTTGTGTAAAAAATCATAAAATATCATCTTAATTTATAAGATACCATGATTTTTTTTTAAAAAAATTCAAAATATCTTTGTTTTTTTTAACTAACTTTTAATTTGTTTGATTAATTACACAACTTATTGGAACCCACGTAGAAGCATTTGGTAAATAAGTTTATCAAATTAACTTATAGCATTTTTTACAAATGCTTCTCGAAGTAGCATTTATACTGTTATTATTTAATTAACTTACTATTATTCTTTTCATTTTACCTTTAACACTTAAATAAATTTTTTCATTTACTGTTTCATTAAGAATTACGCTATTTAAAATAAAAATTAATAAAACACTTAATTTTTAAACAAAAAATAATAGTTCAAAACTAACTGAAAGAGGTAAAATCATAGTTACCGAAACACATTTTTGTCTACACAATAGAATATATAAATCATATTAATGTATCATTTAATGTTATTTTATATGTTGCTACTAATATATCGACTAATTTTACAAGCCTTTCCTTTCACTTTCTTCCCAAATGCGACCAGACTGAAATTTGAGTAGGACCCAGATAGCAGAGCGGACACGATTTGAGATCCCAACGTTTGTTATCCATTTCCACACAGCTAATCACAGACAATAACATTTTTATTCGATTTGATAAAAAAGGAATGAAAAGGAAAGAAGAAAAAGAAAGAAAGATGCAGAAGAGTACATTGGTTAACTCATCATTCATGATCACAATCAGGCACTCATGCTAGGAAAAGAAAATCATGGAGAGAAGAAAGAACTTCTTTTACTACAAAATTGGGGTCTACATTAAATATGGTGGTGGTGGTGTGGGGGGGGGGGGGGATTCCAACAGGTTTTCCCAGTGGAACCAGTTAAAATATAACTTGGCATGTGGCCACTAGAACTTCAGACAAGGCAACAGCTGCCCAGATTAGTAGCCATCCGGTATTAGTTTGGCCAAAAAGGATTCAAACACTATTCCCAGATCGCAGAACGGAGAGGGACAATCTTAGACATTCTTTCAACTGAATAGTGTTACAAAATGGTGTTACTACATGGAGGAAGAAACACTTCAACTAAAATGAACAAGACAAAAATGTCTTACATTTGGTCTTGCTGACAGAAGAGGTACTTGAATTCAAGCTCATTTTTATCAGGCTAGATCAATCCCTGATCATGATTCTGCTGCATCCACTGTATTCCTGAATGATTTGAATTGTCAACGATATTCTTATAAAGGAAAAAAATAAACATGTTCATTCAAAAGTAATACATGAACTCACTTGGGTGATTGTGAATCAAGCTGCATGGTAACTGGTCCATCATTAACCAAATTTACCTGCTCGTCATCAGAAAGTGTGAGGATTGTTAACATTGACACTGCTAGAAATTGGCACACAATAAAGGCACCCTACATAGAAAATGGGTTACATAATTTACCTTCATCATTGCTCCAAAAACACCATCTGCATAAGGAATTGAAAGCAGCTTAAAAGTAAGGTTCCAACAGAAATTAAAAATGAATCAATACAAATCAACACAAATACAACTAAGACTCCTCAAAGGACATCTGTTTTGACAAGTATCATAGCACTACTAATGTATTTCAAAGGCCATGAGAGAATAATTGATCGGTCATCATGTATTCATGATCAAAAGCATTCTCAAATTCTCAAGATTGTGATTTTATAATTTAACTAGCGCATTCTCAAATTCTCAAGATTGGTATAAAGGACTATAGACACAGGAAATTGCATGCCAAACAAATTTTTGAACTAACAAGTTGACTTGATACATCGCATGAAAAGATTGCACAGGCATTCGGCTTGTTGACCACAATACAACATCCAGTGAAAAGATAAAAGTGAAAGAATTTGATCGCAGTTTCACAAAGGAAAAAGGCTCCAATTCTCCAATCCAATTCACTATATATCCATATTCTATAGAATAAGAATAATACTCCAAGTTCTAGCTACATCAAATGCTTAAAGTATAATCGGTTCTCTTAATATATGAATGGGACAAAAATGCATAGCTATTCCAATTTGCTATTACTCAAAGATGAGACAAAACAAAAATAAAAATATGCTTCTATATCTGTGAAACAGTATATAATTATAGAAACAGAAATGAAAGGTGAAACATAAGATCTCTCACCCTTGATTGCATCAGAATTATAAGCGTTCCTAAACCTGTCAACTAAAGAAGCATAGAAGGGCTTGGCTCTCTGAGGCCCCATTGCAACGTGAAAATCTGGCTTCTTACCCTTCAGGAATCCATACAACGTAAATTGACTCACTGAAAAATCCACAACAAAAACAAATAAATTATTGAAAAAAAAAAACTAAATGAATTACATATATGTTTTTTGCTTCCAAAATAAAGGTTCGAAATGAATAAATACCAAACTTGCCTAATAAAACTTGATAATTTTTTTGCATTACATTGTGGTCCCACGCTTTGCCTGTGTTTTCATTAGCGAACAACCTCATATTCAAGACCTTTCGACATCTGTTAAGTGTTAAAGAAAGAAATGATTAAGTATGGCGAAGTTGAAATTGGAGTAAAAAGAGTAAAGAGACGGAGATGACATGTAATCGGCGTCGGCGTCGGAATCGGAATCGTGGATTCCGACCAGGACGAGAAGGCCAGGGCCGATCTCGGAGACGACGCGGCCTTCGACTTCGACGGATGCAGAGGCCACGCGCTGAACCACGGCTCGCATGGCTCTCACAGTGGCAGTCCCAATTCGCTTTGTTCTGCGTATGCGTACCAATGCCGCTCCTCCTCCCACACGTGGAACTGCAACCCTACACGGCCACACACATTGCAATTGCATCTTTATCCTCGTGTTAGTTACTTTTGTAAGGGTTAAATATTTTTTTAGTTATATTAAATCGTATACTTTATAAATGTTATATGGTTATTTTAAAGTTTAAAAATTTTATAAATTTCAAATATGTAAATATTATAATAAGTAATAAAAAATGTTTTATTATATTAAATTAAATAAAGGATAAATTATAAAAATTATAAAAATTATAAAAATTAACATTAATTAAAAATAAGACAATCTAGATTTCTAATATAGCTACTTTCTACATTAAATGACTAATTTTTCACATGTTTTCTTTAAGCATAGTAATTTTTAGGCCACGTCAAATTTTCGTTTGTAACGTAAAAGGTTAATAAGCTATATTATAACACTTATTAATAACAACGATTGTTCCTGTTAAGGTAACACAGGTCTTCAAGTCTCTGCTCTGACGTGCTGACGTTTCTCTAACCGTTGCTGACGTGAGAGGGTACCTGCAAAAGACACTCCGATGCTGAAGTCAGGATTCGGTTCTGAGCAATAAATGTTATTTAATAATGAAAAGTCAACCCTTTACCTGTATTTTTACCTTCCTTATATAGGCACTATAATGGGCCAGTGGGCTTGTCAAGCCAGTCTTCATTTTAGCCATTTATTTAAAGTAAATAATATCTTGATTATTACCCCTAATTGAAGTAATTAACTTATAATCCTGACAATGGATATCCAGCCACCTAGGCCGAATAGGTACTCGATTTCTTTTCACTATAAGTAGGACCGAGTTGGTTTTTATCTAGTACACTAGCCCCCAAGCCCGAAGAGGTACGAAGCGAGGGCTTTAACTAGAGTTAGGTCGTGGATTTGAACAAGGCCGAGGGGGGGGGGAGTACTCAGTTAGAGTAAACTTGAACAAGACCTAGGGGGAGTACTCGGTTAGAGTAAACTTGAACAAGACCGAGGGGGGAGTACTCAGTTAGAGGGGAGGTCTTGGTATTGAGTGGAGGAGTGATGGTAGTATTTAAACTTGATTGATGTGTATTGGGTTTACACTAAGAGGTATTCAGTTTAGTAATAAAACGATACAGACCGAGATAGGAGATAGGAAATCATAAAAAATAAATAATTTGCGAAGGAATATTCTAGAATGTTGGTTCTTAGGGTTTCCTCAGTGAGTGTATGAAACGAAAGGGTGCCCAACCTCATCTATTGATCTGAAAGGGATCTGACGGTTCATAGGGGGGTGACCTTTCGTTTGCTCGAAACCAGATCTCCTATAAATATGTGGTGGTCCCTGCACTCACTTTCTGTTCTTTTGCTCTGTACTGAAACGTGCATATTGTTGCTCCAAACCGAAGGGTATTCAGAGATCTTCTCTTTTTCTTGCATACCGACTACTTGTAAGGTGCGTTTTAATTTCTCACTTTTCTTTCTTTCTTCATGGCCGACCCTATTAAGTGGAAGGATTCTCTGTCTGATGTCTCGGGACCGAGTACTGTCGAAGTGGACATAATGAACGAAACAGAGGAGAGTGGCGAGGTTTTATCCACACCGAACCAGAGGGCTGAAGAAGCACAAGTTAGGGAATGCGGCAACGAGGCTGAATCGTCTACTTCTAGTGATACTGACACCTCTGAACCCCTACCGAGTATGAGCCCCCCAAGGGAAAGGCATATGTTTCCTCCTTGTACAATACCCGAATATGAGTGGGTGCACGGTGAAGTGGCCGCATACTTTTCTCGTTTCACAAGAAATAAAAGTCTCCAGTCTTTTGTAGATAATTGTGATATTTCTTTGTGGGAAGCCTCTGACCCGTATCCAATACACCTCAACCCCTGTAAAGGGGATGAGACCGAGAACCCAAAGTTTGTTTTCCTGGGAGGTGTCGGAATGACCGACACCTTCTTTATGTACGAATAGATGTTTATAGAGTTAGGTATCAGGCTACCTTTTGATGACTTCCAAATGGGAGTTTTGAGGGTTTTGAATGTAGCGCCGACATAACTGCACCCGAACGGGTGGGCGACAATATAGACCTTTAGGATACTTTGTAAATTCCATTATATAGAACCTAGTGTAGGCCTATTTCTTCATCTCTTTTGTACACGCCCATCTGACTTAGCAAGGTGGGTGTCTCTAATAAGGCAACTCGAGTTGCCTTTGTTTAAACCATATGCTTCGTCTTTTAAGGGTTTCAAGACCGGTTACTTTAAGATGACCGTGGACCCTGTAGGTAGAAATTATTTTTTTGATAGCGAGAATAATCCTCTCTTCCCTTTTCACTGGACTCGGGTGCCTCGCCGATACGACATATACCCCGAGGATATGTTATCGGCTAAGGAGTTGTCGGATTTAGAATTTTTGAAGTCTCTTCCCCGAGAACTACCTGCCCGACACGTAATCCTCGTACTCAAGTCTTCGCGTCCTCGCTGGGATATGGAGGGTATGTATCGTCTCGTTTTTAACTTAATATTTGGAATCAAGTTGTATTGATTTGACTTGTTATTTTTAATGCAGGCTTAATGGCTCAGCGCGGTGTTGATGTACCGACCTTCCGTTGTACTCTGAAGTAGAAAATACCGGAAGGTACACCACTTGAGGAACATCGTCATCCTCAAATTGATCAACTTCCTGAAGTACCAGAGCCTCACCCTCCTCCTCGAGACCTTGTTCTTGCTGAAGGCCAATCCAAGAAACGCAAGGACAAGGGCAAAGGCAAAGAGCCCGAGAGGGAGAGAAAGAGAAAACATGCCCATTCGAGTGGGCTGAGCGGTGTAGAGGAGGCGCGCAAGCAAACCCGAGTTGCGACTACCGAGGGGGGAAACAGTTCCTCCAACCCTGTAATTCCTCTGGAAATGCTTGTCAAGGGCTTCCTGGAAACCGAAACTCATAGCGGCCAGCTGGCTGTTCCCAACTTGTTGTCTGATTCGAGGAAAGAACTGATCAACAACATAGAATATGAATCGCTCTGACGCTGCTATGCAGAACTTCATGTACGATCAACAGCGATACTCTGAAAGCTAGTTGTGGATCCAATTCTTGAAGTTAAGAAGTTAAAAACTGCCTATTCGGCTTCTAAAGAAGCTTTGGCAGAGAGTAGAGAAATTCAAGCCAGTCTTAACGAGACCATTCAATCCCTACAGGGTCAGGTTAATCAATATAAAGAGCACTTCCGGATAGTGGAAGACTGGGTTCAAGCGGCCGAGGAGACTTTGAGGGTCAAGGAGGAGGAAATAGAGGCGTTAAGGGTGAAGTCTTGTCAGATGGAGGAGGCCCTACGGGCCAAATCTACCGAGATGGAGGAAGCCTTGGCATTTGAAAAGCAAAGGGCTGAAACTGAGATGAAAACCTTTGCCGAGAAGTGTTCTTAGCAAGTCGCTTATGAACATGAGTCTGGTTTTAACCATGCTATTCGCCAATGCCATGGATTTTGCCAGGTTCTGACCGATTTTCATTTTGACATCACGAAGGACTTCTTTGGCGGCAGGTTTATTCCTTACAATGAGGTTGATGATGATGTGGAGCCTGACGCCGAAGCCCCAAGACGAATCACCGATAATGAAAATGCTACTAATCCAGAGGTAGCCGGTCCTGATGCCAAGGAAGCGGAAGAAAATTAGATTTGTTTTCTTTGTATTCATGAGCCATTAGTGCTCAAATTTTGTAGCCATTAATTTTGACATAGAATCTCTTTTTTCTCCTTCTCTTGTACTTTTTGTTGAAAACTTGGTCATAAGCGATTTAACCTTGACCGAGTAGGGGTGCGCGGGAGGGAATTTAACTACTTCATCTTTAGCGAAGTAAAAAATATTTGAGTAAATTTTAATAGCGATTCAACCTTAACCAAATAGGGGTACTCGGGAGGTGATTTAAATAGCGATTCAACCTTAACCGAGTAGGGGTACTCGGGAGGGAATTAATTAATTCAAGCTTGGCCAACTAGAAATACTTGGGAGGGAATTTTAATAATGATCCAACCTTGGCCGAGTAGGGGTACTCGGGAGGGATTAAATTAATGCGACCTTAGCCAAGTAGAAATACTTGGGAGGAAATTTTTATAATGATTCAACCTTGGCCGAGTAGAGGTACTCGGGAGGGATTAAATTAATTCGACCTTAGCCAAGTAAAAATACCTGGGAGGGAATTTTAATAATGATTCAACCTTGGCCGAGTAGGGGTACTCGGGAGGGATTAAATTAATTCGACCTTAGCCAAGTAGAAATACTTGGAAGGGAATTTTAAACATGATTCAACCTTGGCTGAGTAGTGGTACTCAGGAGGGATTAAATTAATTCAACCTTAGCCAAGTAAAAATACTTGGGAGAGAATTTTAATAATGATTCAACCTTAATCGAGTAGGGGTACTCAGGAGGGATTTATTAATTCAACCAGGTGCTTGAAAGAAATATTGATGCATTAAAAACCGGATAATGGAGAAGAAGTATTTTATTGATTAGGTGCCTCGTTAAAAACCTTCTCAAGAAAACCCCTTCTCACTTTCTTTTAAGAGGACAAAACCTAGGGGAGGAAAAGAGTGCACCGATTACAAATTACAAGCAAGTCTTCAACTATAGTAATGCTTCAAATGTGTAACATTCCAAGTTCTCGGTACAAGATTTCCTTCCAAAGTTTCCAACTTGTACGCTCCATTGTCTAATCTTGCTACTACCCGAAAGGGGCCTTCCCAGTTAGCTGCTAATTTCCCTTCTCGCCGATCTCTTCGTGCATCTCCGGCTACCTGCCATACTAAATCATTCTCATAAAATTGTCACGGTTAATTTTGGAGTTAAATTTTCTTGCCATCATTCTTCTGCTAGCCTCGGTCATGATGGCTGCCTTGCCACGCACCTCATCTATCAAATCTAGGTTGACGGCCAGAGTCTTGTTATTAGCTGATTCCTCGAAATTCTCCCTTCGAAATGAAGGTTCTCCAATTTCTACCGGCACCATGGCATCAGTACCATAGGTAAGCCAAAAAGGAGTTTCCTTTGTTATGGT